AAATTTTACTTCTAATTGTATTTTCAGTTTTGAAGATAGTTCTAATATTAAATTTTTTACCTACTCGTTTAATTTGATCTGAAAGTCCCGGAATAAATGGAATGAAAAGGTTCGTAATAGCTTTATTTTGATTTTGTTTTGTTCGTGGGAATTTAATTTCGTTAAAACATTTTTCAATAAAAAAATTTGGATAATTATTGAAATTTAGAATTTCTTTTATAAATTGTTTTTCTTTGGAAAAATTAGATTGATTACAAATAATGTTTGCTCTATCATATAGACTTTTTACGATACCTTTTTTAACCATTATCGGGTGATTTGAGTCGAAATTCAATTATCGGTTAGTATGAGTAGGTTTTCGATAGGCCAAGGTTTCGAAATTGTTTAAATTAAAAGAAAAAAAATTTTTAGGCGAAATACCCAAAAAGGAGTTTGTAAAAAAGAAGCTAGACTTTTATAAACGAAAATATCACAAAATGTTAGTCAACTTAGAAAGGTTTAAAACCTTAATTGTATGCCTATAAAATCGATGGATTGAGCTACTGTTTGCGATTTTTGTCGAGAACAATCAAATCGCCCAAAATTCAGTTATTCGACCAATTTAAATGCAAGAAAGCCAGACATATTAGAAGCTTAGGAATGTTGAATGAAAATTCCAAAATTAGAGTGATTTTTCTCTTGAATTTTCTTTCTTGAATTCTCTTGAAATGAAATTTTAGCATGTCTAACTGTTTTTTTATGTATTTTTATTATTTTTTAAGTAAAAAATTACACTTGCATGCTCTAGAATAATTATTAATTTTTTCGATAATAAAATATGTGTTATTTAAAAAGGGCAGAAAGACCGATTGGGTCGATACTTATCCTTTTTCTATAGGAAATGAAGATATATATATATATAATTTAAAAATGTTATTAAAAAGTGTTGAAAAATAAGTTTTAAATGAAATAGAAAAAACCGCCCAAAATCAATTTTTCCCAAACCCAATTTCGACACATTTTTCTTATTTAGTATTAAAAATAAGGGCACGCCAAATGTCACAAATACCTTCTATTATGAGTATTCCATATCTTGAAGCATACTTAAAAAAAAATGTGTAGTTCTTAAACGAATATTTGAGGTCTATTTTAATTTTTTTATTACGATAAACAACGCAGTAAACAAGTGTATTTTCGTAGGTTACTTTCTGTTGTTTGATATTCATTGTCGCTTACTTGAATTAAATTAATAACAATCACAAAATATACGTTCAGTTCTTATTTTAAGTGTAATAGATAAAAGGAAGAAAGAAAAAAAACGTACCAGAAGAAAAGAAGGAAAAGAAAGTTGTTGAAAATTGAAAACTTTGCAAACGAGCTACAGTTTACCAATGTTGCGGCCCTAACTCAAATAAGTGAGAACTTAAAGTAAGTCGAAAGAGAAATTTACGGAACATGAAATGAAAAACGCAAAAAAAACCCATTCTCAAAAGTCAGCAAAAAATCATAATACATTACTTTTTTGTTTTTAAGTTCTTTATATTGTTTTCTAACAATATTCGTGATTTCGTTATATTCAAGTAACAAAATAGGTTTCTTATATTATTGTATTTCGTATTATTGATTAATTGAAAGAAGGATAATTATAAATAAAATGGTTGTATGATGTACGAAATATTTTTTTCAATTCTCCGAGGAATTTGAAATTA